TGAATAATATTCTATTATATGGATGTACCATATTTTGTTTATCCATTCATCAGTTCATGAACATTTGGGTTGTTCCACTTTATGAATGCTCTGTGGGCATTCATGTACAGGTGTTATGTGAACATGTTTTTGCTTCTCTCTGGTATATATCTAGGAATGAAACTGCGGGGTAAAATGGTACCTCTATGTTTAACTGTTTGAGGAACTGCCAGACTTCTGCAAAGCTCTCTTCCTTATCAGTAAGCAAAGGAAATATTTTATTTGTCTTTAATGGTTGTAAGTTTTACTACTGCCCAACTTTCCAGCTTGTCTGTTAAAAGGCTTCCATGAAGAGGGTGGAGGTGTCATCACCATGCCTACACCTCCCCTTGCACGTGCTTCTCGCCCTCTGCAAGTGCTGCTGGAGCCGGGCCTGGGTCCTCAGTGCTGGTGGGACAGAGTTACCCCTGGAGACACGGTCATTTATGGACCAGACAACTTTTCATATTATTCTGGTAACGAGAGCAATTTCTTTTGTTGATCTTGACCTGTGATCTCACATATTAAAAACCATTGAAAGTTTAGGTAGAAGGTTGCTCATAATTTTTCTTACTTGAGCTGATTTAGGTCATCTTTTGTCATCATGCTGATGTCGTGGCCTCATCAGCAGCAAAATGATGCCCAAATCAGGAAGATTGGGAAAGAACTTGGACTTTTGGTATCACGCTTCCGACACACAAAACAGATTTTAAATGCTTTCACAGGCCTCACCACAAACATCCACCTTCCATAGAGCTCAGGCTACTGCCACCAAAGGAACTGTATGGCTCTCGTTGTGACCCTATAAAATTCATGCTGAAGTCCTAACCCCCAGCACCTCATAGTGTGACTGTGTCTGGAAATAGGGAGTAATTAGTGTTAAATGAAGTCACTGGGGTGGGCCCTAATCCAATATGACTGGTGTCCTTATAAGAAGGAGAAACCATGTGATGGCCCAGGGAGAAGATGGTCATGTGCAAGTCAAGAAGAAAAGTTCAGAAGAAACCAACCCTACCAACACCTTAATCTTGGACTTTTAGGCTCCAGAATTGTGAGAAAATGAATTTCTGTAGCATAAACCACCCAGTCTATAGTACTTGTTATGGCATCCCAAGATGATTAACACATGCACCCTGATGCCCCTGAGCCCTGACACCTGCCTCCTCTCTTACCCTGTGGGAGAGATGGGCAAATAACAACCCTAGGTCCCTGACCATATGCTCTTCTTGGGTCACCCTGAGGGCCCAGTCTGGTTCCCTTTATGCTGGGCCCACCCTGGTCCTTCTTGTTTCTCCAGGGTCAAAGGTGCCTCCCATGTAGAAGCATACTCTGGCCCAAGTACCACCCCCAGCAGGAGAGAAAATACCAACAGGGACTCCTGTCAAGACTCGGACCCCCTTGCCCCACTCCGGCTTGTTCATAAGGAAAGTCCAGTGATTTCTTAGCACTTGCCAGGGTTCCCTATAGAGAGTGGCCACTTTATACACAAAGATGGCTTGATCATCCCAGAAGTCTTTTCCTTTCATTTAACAGAATTTGCATCTAGTGTTTCGCTCCAGATGATTTCTAATGTGGAAATCATTTTATATGTTAAAAAGGTGGTCTCAACATTTGCTAAGTAAAAGTTGGGGATATTTCTAAAGTTAGGTTTATTAAGGTATAATTTACATACAGCAAAATTCATCCTTTCTAGATGTGCAGTTCACTGAGCTTTGACAAATGTATATAGTGTGAGAAACCAACAATCGAGACAGGGGGTATTTATTCTCATCACTCTGCAGGGACCTCATGCACTGTGCCCAGTGCTGGCTTCTGAGCAGCAGTTGTTATAGAGTCGAGCTGATGCTCTAGGAAGGTCGAATTAGAAGTACTTTTCAGGAAGAACAGGAAGGAAGAGAGTGTAGGGGAAAACTGACTGGCTATTTTTTAGGGCAGAAAAACTGGAAACAATTCCACAGGCAAGTGGAAGGATGGGTGATAGCTCCCTGTAGGCCCAAAGGAGGGCGGGGTGTCACAACCAGGACAGAGGATGGAGATATAGGTAGAAACTCTTCGCTTCTTCGCACAACCAAACAAAGATAACAACCAATTTAAAAACAACAAACAACCAGAACTGCCATAAAATCGAGCTGCATGGACCTGTGACAACCAAGGAGTTAAAGAAACATACATCCAGACTGGTAGGAGAGGTGGAGACAGGTAGCCTGCTGGAGACCCTGAGGCAAGGTGGTGGACCATGCAGGTGAGGCAGGGGCTGGCTGACTGGGAAACTACAGACTCAAAACCTCTAACCTCTAGCCGTAAAACCTGTGGGGATTGCAACGGTGGGAGAAACTCCCAGTCTCACGGGAGAGTTCTTTGGAGAGACCCACAGGATCCTAGAATGTACACAAACCCACCCACCTGGGAATCGTCACTGAAAGGGCACAGTCCGCTTGTGGGAAGCGAGAGAAGTGATGGAAAGCAGAGGTATAGCAGAGCAAGTGAGCAGCATTGTTCCCTTTCTGACCCCTCCCCCATAGACAGCACCAAATGCAGCAAAGAGGGTTGCCCCACCCTGGCAATACCTAAGGCTCTGCCCCTTACAACATAACAGGTGTGCTGAGACAAAGATATATGACCTAAGTGAAAGAACGGATCAAAATTCCAGAAATAGAACTAAGTGGCAAGGAGATAGACAAACTGTCATATGTAGAGTTCAAAACACTGGTAATCAGGATGCTCACAGAATTGGCTGAGCTCAGTCACAAAATGAAGGAAGAAATAAAGGGTATACAAAGTGAAATAAAGGAAAATATACAGGGAACCAAAGTGAAGGAACGGAACCCAGAACTCAAATCAACAATTTGGAACAAAAGGAAGAAATAAACATCCAACTAGAACAGGACGAAGATATAAGAATTAAAAAAAAAAAATCAGAACAAGCTTAGGAACCTCTGGGACAACTTTAAGTGCTCCAACATCTGAGTCATAGGTGTGCCAGAAGGCAAAGAGAAAGAGCAAGAAATTAAAAACTTATTTGAATAATGAAAGAGAACTTCCCCAATCTGGCAAAGGAAACAGATGTCCAGGAATTCCAGGAAGCTCAGAGAGTCCCAAAGAAGTTGGACCCAAGAAGAAACACACCAAGACACATCATAATTAAGTGACCTAAGATTAAAGAAAGAATCTTAAAAGCAGCAAGAGGAAAGGAGTTACCTACAAAGGAGTTCCCATAAGGCTATCGGCTGATTTCTCAAAAGAAACCTTGCAGGCAGGAAGGGGCTGGAAAGAACTATTCCAAGTCAAGGCAAGGACCTACATCCAAGATTGCTCTATCCAGCAAAGCTTTCATTTAGAATGGGAGGGCAGATAAAGTGTTTCTCAGATAAGGTCAAGTTAAAGCAGTTCATCATCACCAAGCCCTTATTATATGAAATGTTAAAGGGCCTTATCTAAGAAAAAGAAGGTCAAAAACTATGCACAGTAAAATAACAACAAACTCACAACTATGAACAATCAAAAAACAAAAACTAAGCAAACAACTAGAACAAGAACAGAATCACAGAAATGGAGATCACTTGGAGAATTATCAGTGACGATGGGGAGCAGGGAGAATGGGATAAAAGGTACAGGGAATAAGAAGTATAAATGGTAGGTACAAAATAGACAGGGAGAGGTTAAGAATAGTATAGGAAATGGAGAAGCCAAAGAAAAATGTACAACCCATGGATATGAACTAAGGGAGGGGGTCCCCAACTAAGGGGAGGATGGAGGGGTGTAAGGCTGAAGGGAATAAAGTGGAGAAAAAAATGGGACAACTGTAATAGCATAATCAATAAATGTACTTAAAAAACAAAACAAAACAAAACACTGTTTGGATTGCCTGCCTCTCCGCCACTGGCACCTGAAAACCATACCAGGAATACAGTCCCCAGGGCTGCCTCTGAGCCTGAATGATAGGAGGTTATGTTCAAAAACTAGGTTGTAATCTTACTGAAATTTAGCAGCTTCTTTCTTCATTGGACATTCCTCTGATTGTTGCTAGTTTTTGGTTGGATTCCAAAGTTCTGTATATGTTGATTCTGACAGTTTTTGCCAGCTTAACTGTCACTTTTGTGAAGGCATAGATTTGCCGGGTACCCTGTTCTCAGGTATGGACATTTTTACAGTTTTTTTTATATTGATAGATTGCCCTCTAAAATGAATAATTTATTTTACAGTACTAACAGCCATGCACGTCCTCATAGTAATGCCAACATTTGTTACAAATTTTAAATTTTTTGTTTATTGTTGAATAATACTTCATAATCAAATTGATTTCAATTTCAGTATTGTTGAGTATGAACCTTTGTTGAGTTAGTGTTTGTTTTTCTGGACACTGTTTCCTTTGATCATTAGACTCTTCAGCTTATTCAAGAATTAGCCTTTCACCTTCATTTCTGTTTATCTGAGCCTGGGCTTGATGTGATGAGACATGTCTGTGTAAGTGTCATAATCTATCTTAGTTGGGGACAGGCAGTCCCTACCACCGGAGGAGGCTTGTTGGATCTGACCCTGGGCCTGCTTAAATTATTCATTTATTGAACAGAAATGCACCGAGCCCTATGGTGTACCAGCCTGTGCTAGTGCTGGGGACAACCTTGCCCAGTCCTTGTGGGCAAACAGCTGGTCAGGCATGACACCAAATAAGCAAGATGCTCAGGATGTCATCTCAGAACATGTTTCCTGCTGAACCCACTAGTTTTAATTTTATACAGGTTTTTAAAATTGTTGATGTCCTTACCCTTGCTCATCACATCCTTGAAAGGGCGGTCAGATCAAGCCCCCATCACCTCAGCAACTTGAGCTTCATGGTGCACATGGTCAGTCCTTGGGTGGGGCGGGAGGGGGTTGCCCTCCCGGGTACCAGAGGTCCGGACCCTCCCCTCTGGGAACCTAGGGCCCCAGAACATGAGCTTTCTTCTGGAGGCTGACCTCACCTCACATGACAGACAGTTTCTTCCAGGACAGAACTCCCAGAAGTTTTCAGATGGCCAAGTCCCAGAAGACTGTGCTAGCCCTTCCTCAGAGAGAAGGTAGGTATCTTTCACCTGCATAGGTAGAACTCGCCGGAGGTTTGGGGCCACACGGGAATGGAAAACCCATGGCTAAGGTTTCCCATGCATCTTTCCCAAGCAATCCAGAGTTGTCCCCTGTCCTTACCCAGCATAATAAGATGGTGGTGGTCAGGTGAGAACACTGCAATACTCATCCTGTCCACAGGGATCAAGACAGCTGCCCCTGCCCCCATCCTTCTGCCCAACCAGAAGCACAGTGACTTGGACCATCCCCACCATGAGAGGATCTGCAGGCCCACCCAGTGCTTCTGCAGCCCCACCTCAACTGCAACTGCCGAGTCGTCGAAGAAGCCCAAGATGCAGGCCACAGGGGACATGTTTCCCACCAACTGGAGCCCCCCTCCTATTGAGTTCCTGACTCCAAGGGTTCAGCAAGCTGGCAAGGGGGCCCAAGCCCACAGGTGGGTGGGTACGGTGGGACCTCAGAGCCCAAGGAGACTGGCCTGCTGGGTGCCCTCGGAGTTGAAGCAGAAGTCCCAGGTCTCAGTCCCCCAGGGGAACCTGGCCTCACTGGAGGAGCTGTTCTGGAACACGGCAGGCCCAAGCCAGGAGGCTGCAGCTCCATTGGTGGGTACCTCCTCTCCTCGCCACCCATCTTCAGTGACCCTCCTCTATCACCCCCAAGACACCCCTTTTTGACACTCCTCCTAGGCTATATCCCAGCTGTCCTTCTGTGACCACTTCCTTTGGACCATCCCTCCTCAGCCATATACCTGTAATATCCCTGCAGTCCTTGGGCCCTAAAGGCTGGGCTACCCCTCTCCCTCTATTTCCACTCCTAACTCTTGCTAAGAGGTGGCTTGGCGGTACCAGATCTGGTGCCCCTCCTGCATGGGGCCCTTCAAGGCTTTCCCAGCCATGGTGGGGATTATGGCCCCGGAGAAGGAAGGACCTTGGAGCTGGGCCAGGGTTAGGCACAGAGACTCAGCTGACTGCGGTCCACTAGACTTAGATTCCTGAGTGGACACTTTTGTGATGAACTTCACAAGCAGAGCGAACTGCTGTTGCTAGGTAGATAGTGGGGACACTTAAGGAAATGTACTCTAAGAACAGGGCTTCGCTTGTCTCTGATAGCCTGAGATTGTCCGTCACTGAAATGGCCACCACCAGGGAAGTAATAAATTCTGCTCTAGTCACATGCCAGAGTGCCCTGAAAGAATTCCTTCAGTTGTCTCAGAAGGACTGACATGGAATAGCCCTCGAGACATACTGCGAAACGCAAAGGGCTCGGCGCAGGCTGGGGCGTAGGGTGCGCTGCCCTTTGTGTTAAGGTGGGGGCTGTGACAGGTTTCTGTCCACTCTTCTGTGCACAGAGTGTCTCTGACCTCATTCCGGGGCGGGGAGGGGGGGGCAGCGGAAATGGTTTACTAAATAACTTCAGGCTTTTAAATTTTTTTAGTCATGTGATTGGATTGCCTATTCAGAAAAGTTAACAAAAATAAAGGGTTTAATTTAGATTAAATTTTATTCTCCTTTCCCTCTACTTTGTCTTTCTCTTTCTTTCCCATTCCTATAACCTGTTTCTCCAGCTCACCCCTGGGGACTCACAAAGCTACATCAACAGCTTAGATTGCTTGCTGCAGGAGAAGAGGTGAGTTCAAGAAAGGGTCCATCATGGGGTGTCGCGTCTGTGGGGTTGGCAGTAATTTCACAGAGGTTGTCCTAGTCTAACACTCACATCAAATGCCTCTCGGAATAAAGCAGCCTACCTCCCCCCACAGTGTGCCCACGCCCCCCAGAGGGCCCTACATGCTTGAATTAATAATGAACATGGGAAACAGCAACCAGGTCAACAGGTGAGGATCATGGCCAAGCGGAGACCCCCACCCCATGTACAGAGCCCTCGTCTGGCTCCTCTTTTGTCTTGACTTCCTTCTGCCTAATCCCTGCTAGTTTGGGGAAGGGGAGAGTTAGTCTCTCAGGTGCCTTTCAGGAGCTGTGTTAGAAGTTGAAAAGGTGCTGGCTCTGACAGGCGTGCAGCCTGCCTCCTGCCTCCACCGAGATGTACCAGTTCCTGCTGCCCTGCTCTGCACCAACCCTGGAGCATGCTTTGCTCATTTCCCCATAGCACTTCATCGCTTTCACATCCGATATCTCCATGGTGTTGCAGTGAGCCTCACTTCACACAGAAGTTACTTTCTAAAGGCCAAAGTCACATCCAATCAGAATCAGTCCCTCGCAGAGGCCAAGATGGTCTTGGAGACACCAAGTCCTTAGCACTGGGAGGTTCTTGCTCTGCACGGGGCCCTGACCAGGTGCTGGATATAGAGATGACTGTGCAGCCCCAGCTTGCCTGGAAATTAACATGATTCCAGTGATTCCAGGGCCACAGAGATGCTATAGAGGGTCCTGGGATTGTGGCACCGGACTTGACCAGGGAATCAGGAAAGACTCCCCAGAGGTGTCCTTGTCCTTGGACCTCGGTGGATCAAAAGGTTTGGGAGGTGGCAGGGATGACCATACGTACAGAGGCGAAATGGGACTTGGTGGGCCTGAGCACACCAAGCTGGAAACCGTGCAGTCAGCGGCTAGCTGGAGGGGTCTGAACCTGAGACAGAGGTCCAGGCTCGAGGGGAGAAACCTTTGAGAACTGAAGACCAGTGGGCAGAGCCAGGGCAAGCACTGGGAGGGGCAGGACAAGGGCTGCCGGGCAGTCAGGGCTCCCTCAACAGCCCGAGGGACAAGGACAGAGAAGGGCAGAGCAGGGAAGGGAGTAGGGACTCGGCAAGATAAAGGTTGGCAGCAGAGCCTCTGGAGGGCTGGTTGAAGTGGGAAGTGAAGCCCTCAGGGGCTGTTGGGAGAAGTTCGGGCTCCAGTCTCTGTGGCTGAGGGCACAGGCTGGGGAGGGTGAGGGCTGAGCTGCGTCTGGAGGGCTGCCACCTGAGGCAGAGATGCAGGCCCAGCATCCCAGCTCTAGGCAGCAATGAGCACAGGGCTTCTCCCGGCCATGCAGCTGGACCTCAGGAGAAGCAAAAGGGCTAGCTAGACACAGGCCAGGGTGTGTTAAAAAGTGAGCAAATGCTCTGGCCAGTGTGGCTCAGTTGGTTGGAGCATTGTCCTGTAAACCAAAAGGTCGCAGGTTTGATTACCAGTCAGGGCACAAACCCACGTTGCAAGTTTGGTCCCAGTCAGGGCCTGTACAACAGGCGACCCCACTGATGTTTCTCTTCCCCTCTCTCTCTCCCTGCCTTCCCCTCTTTCTAAAATCAATGAGCATGTCCTCAAGTGAAGATTTAAAAAAAAAAAAAGCAAATGCCAAAATAAGGTACACGGACAAAAGCACTTTTGAAGGTTCATGGTGAAAATCGTCCTTTTTGAGGCCTGTCCGCCCCTCTGTGCGTGTGCACATATAACACTCAATGCAGCACAGCACCTCCCTGCAGAAAAATACATTTCTGAGGCAGGCGATGCAGCTTCCTGGTCCCTCCTTCCTAGGCCTCACCGTGTTCTGGGGGTCCCTACAGCCCAGTGACAGAGCTGGGTGACCCACCAGGAACAGCACTGACCCCATCGTCGGCTCTCATCTCCCTGCAGGGAACAGGCGCTGGAGCAGGAGCGGAAGGAGCTGCTCGCGCAGGGCTGTCCTGATCCTGATTCCTTGGATCTCGATGAGGAGGACCTGCCTCTCACACCTGAGCACAGGTGGGGAGGGTGGACACGGGGAAAGGGAGGGATGCAGTGGGGGCTTAGGTGAGGGGTGGGTCCCTAGGACTCAAAGGGGCATGGGGAGGATATGGGGCGGGGCAGGCGCAGGTGGGGAGGCGGGGGGGGGGGTACCTCTGTGCCCACATCTCCAGGCAATGGACTTGGTCTGCCACACTCTGGGTTTTGGACAATTTCAGCCAGTGATTTGTTTATCATTTACAAGTCCTCAGGTTGCCTCCTCTTCTTAAACCCACATTCATTAATCGATTCAAGAAATATTTATTCACCAGCTGTGTGTTGGGGTTCAGTGTGGGCCTCTGAGGACACAGATGTGAAACATGGCCTGCTCTGCCCCCACTGTCTGCCACATTTATAGAACTGGGTCTCTGGGGACAGTAACTGCACAAGACCAAAGTCTAAATGAAAACGCCTTTAAAGGGGAGAACAGAGCCACGTGACATTGTTCACCGTCCCTGTCTGGGGAAAAGCAGGTAGCCACTCTCCGTGCTGTTTTGCGGGTGGCATCTGTGAGCCCACTGGCTGGAGGAGGGTGGACTCGTCTGTGCCAGAGTCTCGGAGGCGCCCGAGGACCGCAGATGACTCCACCTTCAGGGTACCCTGTTACTAGCTCAGCCACACGCGTGTTTGTCCATCTGTCCATCCACTCATCCAACAAACCTCTACTGAGTGTCAACCCAGTGCCGGTGCCAGCCTCTGTTACAGACTCTGGGGACACAGCGGGAACAAAGCCAAGCAGACATCTCTGCCCTCATATCACTTGCTGTCAAGGCAGAGAGACTAATGGTGAACCCGCTGAATGAAGCTACGTGGCAAGTGCCAGTGAGAAAGGATTAAGTGGAGAGGGGGGCATCAGGACCGTGGGGAGGGTTGGGAGATTTGGATGAGGGGTCAGAGAAGGCCTCCGTGAGCAGATGACTTTTAGACAGATGCCTGAAAGGGTCTGCAAGGCAGCTCTGGGCCTGCCCCCACCCCCAGACCAGACCACGGCTGGTGTGCTGGGGAGCAGCCAGGGAGGGAGGGGGAGGAGATCAGCACAGGGGTGGGGGGTGGGGGGTGGCGCTCAGTAGGGGCTCCATGCCAGAGCTTCTCCTCTGAGTGAGCTGCCACCATTTGCCTGAACAGGATCCTCTGCCACCGTGCTGAGGAGAGACAGCGGGGACAGTAATTAAAGGAGTCCTGAAGGGTTTGGGCCTGAGCAAGCAGTAGGTTGTCATTGTCTGGGGCGGGGTAGAATCCGGAGTCCATTTGGGGGATTTTAGAAGTGGGATCAAGGAGGCGGTTAGGATGCTTTGTCCGGAGAGGCAAGTTTGGGAGTTCCTAAGTACAATGACACTTAAAGACAGAAAACTGAGTGAGATGACTGGGGGAGCAACTACCAGGGTGTCCAACCCACGGCCCACGGGCCACGTGCAGCCCAGGATGGCTATGACTGTGGCCCAACACAAAATCATAGATTTACTTAAAAGCTTTTTTTTTTGGTTATCAGTTTTCATTAGTGTTTGTGTGTTTAATATGTGGCTCAAGACAGCTCTTCTTCCAGTGTGGCACAGAGATGCCAAAAGGCTGGACACCCCTGCTCTACACAGAGAGAAGAGACAGGAGCCCAAGGGCAAAACCCAGAGGTCATCTAGGGGCGAAACCTCTAGGCCCAATGTAAACCTAGAGGTTAACATTGACCTTGACGAGAGCAGCTCTGGTGGATGGCTTTGGGCAAACCTGGCTGGGATAGGTTCATCAGAGAACAGGAGGAGCAGAGTGAAAGTGAAAAATGGGCAGTAGCTGAAGTGGAAAGTGGAGTCAGGTTAGATCTTTTCTGTCTGTCTTCTCCCTCCTTCCTCTCTTCCTTCCTCCCTCCCTCTCTCAGAAGCCGTGTGCTAAGGGGAAGCCAGGATGGGCTGCAGGAGGGGAGCCACCTCAGCTGTGTCACTGGGGGCAGGTTGCCTGCCTGTCCTGGCTTTGCTTTTCTGTAAGTCTGTGATGGTGTCCAGTGCTGGTCCATGCAGTGGCAGGTGACATTTGCCTTTGGCATCCACTTGCTGAGGCTGTCCACTTTGGGGATCCCCGAATGTTGTTATTGCCCAGAGATTATTACAAGTGGCACTTTGGCTTACCATTGATTGTTTTTGAAGTTTTTCTGATAATTGTCTCCGGCCTGAATCAGGGATGCGCACACGTAGTGGAAAGTTTATAAATGGTGAATATTTTAGGCCTTGAGGGCCACACAGTCTCTGTTATAACCACTCAGTTCTGCTGTGGTGGCAGGATCAGTCCCACAGATGACATGTCGATCGAATGAACATGACTGCTGCCGCAAAACCTCATCACAGAAACAGACGGGTCGGTGCAGACCTGGCCTGGACTCAGGGGCCCCTGCATTCTACCCGCTGCCAGTTCTCACTGCTCAAATCCAAGTGGCCAGATAGGCTGAGCACTGCGCACAGGCTGCCCAGGGTCCCCAGAGAAAGGTGCTGGGCAAGTCAGACCATGCATCTGAGTGCAGGTGGCGGGGCATGAAGACAGTGGAACCAGCAAATGTGGGCCAAAGGCCTTGGTGACATCAAAAGTGATGAAAGCACTCGTCTGTCTAAGTTGGGGCCTGTGGGTTTGGTTCCCAGGTTCCCAGTTGCCTTGGACTTGAACTTTTTAAAAATCTCTCTAGCAAGAATCATTATTCTAGTTCTTTAACTTTCTACTACATACATCCAGGGCTCCCGAAGTTATGGCTTAGATATTTTGAAGTCCTCACAGGTAGGGAGTTATTTGGACAACTGGCTTAAGGCAGAAGGAGTTTCAGGCTTTACAATTGCCAACAATTTTCTGGGCATATGACATTTTCAAGCTGGACCGTGAGAAAGCCTTTTTGACAACAGCCACTTTGAGGTGGTGGTTTTGATATGGGATCATTTTGCTGGGACAGTCCAACTCTCTACTTCAAAGAAAATGACTTTGTGATGCACAAAGCCAGCAGCCCATTCCCTTCCTGAGTAGGGTGTGGAGCATGGAGGAGCACAGGCCTGGAGAGGAGGGGCTGAGGCTGGGGCTGTTCACATCAGACAGACAAGTTGCTTGTGACCAGAAGTCATAAAACTGCCACAACTGCCCCTCAGAAAGGACCCTGAGCATCCTAAGCAGATTGTCTGCTCACACGCGACGGACCGTCTGGTAATTCTGAATGGACAACGTCCTATATTCTTTATTTCTTCAAGTTAAAAGACCTTATGTGCATGCTGGGGTCGGGGAGGGAGGACAGTTAAACCACAACAGCATCCTTTATCCTCAGTTCTGGGCTGCACAGGAAATCCTTAATTAGTTGAATGAGGGTCATCTCAGAACTCTGAATGACAGACGTTATATTTAATATCACAAAAGTCCCTTTGAACAGTGGTCTGGTGACAGAGTTAAGACCCTTTTACAGGTGAGCCTACTTCTTACAGACTTTTAATAATTTTTTAAATTGTAAAAGCAACATTGGAAGTCACAGTTATTCAGACAGCAAAGAAATGAACAAAACAGAAAACTATTTTAGCGTCTGTGTGTTGGTTTTCCCAGGCTGCTTTTGAAAGGCCACAGGATCAGAATCTCCCCAAGTCACCCCCTCACTGTGCCATTTCATCCTCAGGGCGACCCTGTAATGCAGGGGATTCCCTGACTCGGGGCCACCTCACGTGAAGCCAGCAGAGTTCGCCTGGCCAGCAGTGGGCAGCCCCTTCACTGCTGCCTCTGCAGGGCCGGCTGCGGGAGCCCCAGAGCCTCCTGGGAGCCCCAGGTGCTGTGGCCCTCCGAGTTCAGTCTCTGCCCAGCCGGGGGCCTGGGTGTGGGCGGTCCTCTGGTGAGAGGAGGGGACGAGTACCCACAGCTGGTTTAATTTGTTGCCACTGTTACTGTAGTTAAATGTAGTTAAGTGCATTACAAAATCCAGCAGAACACAGTTGTGTGAAGTAAACAGGAAGTGCCTCCTCTTCCCCAGTCCTGTTGCCCAAGGCTGACCCTGGATCAGAGTTGCATGTGTCTGCTGGGAGGGGGGGGTGCTTCGTGTATTTATGAACGTGTGTGTACCTACACATGTACACACACTTCCCATTCTGCAGCTGGCTTTTCCACCCACCTCTGTGGCACAGAGTTACCTCATTCCCAGGAATCATCCCAGCTACCTTCCCCTTCCTGTTCCCCCTTCACTGGGTCACTAGCCCTGACAGTGTGCGCCTGCCGGCATAGTTAGATTGTGTCCCCTCCTCTTTTCCCTCTCGTCCGCTGTCCGTGGGCCCAGCTCTGGTCTACTTAGTCAGCTCACAGAGCAGGTGGGGCCCAGGCATCTGCATTTTAGCAGCTTCCAAGGGAGTCCTCCTGATCACGGAGCTTGAGGACTGCTGCCCAGAGGAAGTTTGGGCTTCTTCAAGGTGCAGATGCTCTCCCTGACCCTGGATGACCCATGTCTCGGCTCTGTGGCCCATTCACCTGCTGCAGGGTTCTGGGAGGTGCAAGGGCAGCCCACACCTGATTCATCCTCCACCACCTGGCACCGGCACATGGCGGACACTCAGTGAACACCGGAACTGAAAAGAGCCAACAGGTGGCACTGGGCTTTGTAACCAGGACCTCAGGCTCCTGGACTGAGGGAGGAATCAGATGTACAACAGAGTGGAAAGAGTTCCACTCTGTAGCTTGTAGCTTAGTCTGTAGCTTGTGGGCTCTTTCCTCCATCAGTAGGTGGCGCTGTCCCTCTGGTTCGGTACCCCCACCCCCACCCCCAGACCCCAGCTGCAGACCAGGTGCGCCTGTTGACCCGACTCTCCCATCCCTTGCTTTGCCAGGGAGCTGGTGGAGAGGTTCTCCATGTCCCTGCAGGTCATCCCATCAGTCCACCCCGGAGAGACCACGTTTCTACCCAGGCGCCACCCCCTGCCTTGCATCCTGGACTATTCACACATGAAACCCCGTAACCACCTGGAGGAGCTGTTCCTCAGGTAAATGTTTGTGTGGCATGACCAGGCCCCTCCCTCATGGGGCCGTGACTAGGTGCACCCCAGAGGAGGAAATCCAAAGCTGTGTTTGGCCCATTTGGCTGTGTCAGCTTTTAGAGACAGAGATGAAACAGCCATGCATGTCTAACAATAGTTAATTTTTTTAACCTTGCATTTCAGCAAATATTAGACTGTGCATTTACCTACTCACATTGCTTTTCCTCCCACATACCTGAGTTTCATGGAATAACTTTAGTCACACTCATGCCACCTGCTTTTGGAGTTGTGTCTCCATCTACACAGGAGCCACTTTCTGGGCCATCAGCAGTTTTCCGCCACGTCAGCATCACCGCCATGTACTCATTCAAGACACTCTGTCAATCTGTGTGTGATGCTAACACTGAAAAGTTTGTCCCCGGCCATGATTTATGCTGGGTATAACATTAGGACAGCTTGTTCTTCTCTTGGAAATAAATGTATGATCGTCATCACATAACCACTGACTATGTTTCTTTTAAGGGCTTTAAAAAAAAACAAAACTTTATGACAGTAATGTCCACACTCGCAACTGTGAGTCCATACCGCTAAGAATGAGAGAGAGAGAGAGAGAGAGAGAGAGAAGGCCCACAGGATTCAGTGCGGCGGCCACCCATGGGGCACCCATGCAGGCCGGGGCACCCGATGACCCGCACCAGCCTGCGCAGGTGCCCCTTCAGCTGCCTTGGACTTGAACACAGCAATCTTCTTTTTTGCAGCTATTCAGGGCTTTAGTATATCTATTCCATTCATTCTAAATCCACCTTATTTTATAATAGATAACATTTTGATGTGTTTCCTTTAGAACTGTACATCATGGAAAGTGCGAAGCACACGCAACAGTAGAGAGGACAGTGCAGTGCACCTGTGTGTACCTAGCACTCAACTTCAACAATGACCAACTCAAAGCCAGTCTAGTTCCATCTCTACCCCTGCCCACTAGCATTGTCCCCTCAAGCTGATTTCTAAGCAAACCCAGACACATATAATTTCATCTGTACGTGCTTAGTTTGTGTCTCTAGAAGACAGAATTATTATTTTAGACATTACATCAATACCATTATTACACCTAAAAAATAGTAATGTCTTAATATCATTAATATTAGTCAGTGTTCAGATTTCCTTAGTTGTCTTATGAATGTTTTCAGATGTTCAAATCAGGATCTAAACAAGGCCTAAACACTGCAGTGAGGGTGATGCGGCTGCAGAAACCCCGCTGCCCTGCGTCAGTGCCAGGCACAGGCCGCCCTCGCCCTCGCTTTTCCTGCTGTCCGCGTTGTTTCCTGCTTTCCCCTATTACAAAGTGTAGCACAGAATGTTCTTATATCCTGACACAGAAAGGTTTGTCTGGAGGCCTGGGACACACCCCTGGATGTGACGTGAGTGATTTGGCCTGAGTAGATGAGTACTGATAAAGGTTCACTTTGCCAAATTGAAAAGGCATCCAATAAAGACATGAAGAAAAGGAGGGAAAGGGGACTTCCACCAAGATGGAGGCGTCGGTGGAAGCACTGCGCCTTCTCACACAACCAAGTTTAAAAACAACAAAGTTTTAACAACAAAAACACAGCCAAACCACAGAAAATTGAACTACACGGAAGTCTGACAACAACAAACCCTTCAGCCAAACCAGTAAGAGGGGCAGAGCCAGCAGCGGAGTGGGGTCGGGTAGGAAAGATCCACCGGACCAACCGGGGCACGCAACACAGGCACACAACCCAGGTGCGCCAGCAGCCATAGGCGGATCCCAGGTGTGGAGTAGCAGGTGGACCCACTGAGGGCTGACCACGGTCACACATTCGAGCGCAGATAAACAGGTGAAGGAGCGAAGCAATGAGACAGACCGTGCAGGCCCCAGTGGCGGAAAGTGGCAGAGGGGACCACCATTGTCCCTCTCTGACCCCGCCCCCACACACAGCATCACAAACCAGCAACCTGGGTAGCCTCTCTCTGACCCGACACCACATATAGCATCACAAACCAGCGACCTTGGTGGCCCCGCCCTGGTGAACACCTCCTTGTACGTTTTGTAACAGGCACAAACAGATCAAGACATGGCTCAAGAACACCTCAGAGCCCCAGAGCCAATAAATCTAAGCGATGAAGAACTTTCAGATGCACAGTTCAGATGCACAGTTCAAAACACTGGTGATCAGGATGCTCACAGAACTGGTTGATTATAGTCACAAATTAGAGGAACATATGAAGGCTAAACTAATTGAAATGAAGGGTAATGCACAGGAAACCAATAGTGATGGAAAGGAGACTGGGACTCAAATCAAAGGAGTGGACCAGAAAGAGGAAAAACATGACCAAACAGAAAAGGATGAAGAAACAAGAATTCAAAAAAATAAGGAGAGGCTTAGGAACCTCCAGGACATCTTTAAACGTTCCAACATCTGAATTATAGGGGTACCAGAAGGGGAAGAGGAACAGCCATGAGTGGAAAACTTATTTGAACAAAGAATAAAGGAGAAGAACTTCCCCAATCTGGCAAAGGAAATAGACTCCCAGGAAATCCAGGAAGCTCAGAGAGTCCCAAAGAAGTTGGACCCAAGAAGAAACACACCAAGGCACATCATAGTTACATTAGCCAAGATTAAAATGAAAGAGAGAATTCTAGAAGCAGCAAGAGATAAGGGGACAGTCACCTACAAAGGAGTGCCCATCAGACTGTCAGCAGATTTCTCAAAAGAGACCTTACAGGCAAGAAGGGGCTGGAAAGAGGTATTCCAAGTCATGAAATCCAAAGACCTACAACCAAGATTGCTCTATCCAGCAAAGCTTTCATTTAGAATGGAAGGGCAGATAAAGTGCTTCCCAGATAAGATCAAATTCAAGAAGTTCATCATCACCAAGCCCTTATTATATGAAATGTTAAAGGGACTTGCCTAAGAAAACAAAGATAAAAAAGATGAACAGTGAAAGGACAGCAAACTCACAGTTATTAAGAACCACACCTAAAACAAAAGCAAACTAAAAGGACAACTAGATCAGGAGCAAAACCATAGAGCTGAAGATCACATGGAGGGTTAGCAACAGGGGAGTGGGAGAAGGAGAAGGGGGGAGAAGGTACAGAGAATAAGTAGCATAGATGGTAGGTAGAAAATAAGATGGGGGAGGGCAAGAATAGTGTGGGAAATATAGAATCTAAAGAACTTGAGACACGTGGTCATAAACTAAAGAGGGGGAATGGTGGGGGAGGGGTGTGCAGGGTGGAAGGGAATGAAGGGGGGAAATAGAACGGTAATGGCATAATCAGTAAAATAGATTTAAAAAAGAAAAAAGAAACAAAAGGAGGGAAAGGGAGTGAAGGGAGAAGAAAGGTAGTGCAGCCAGAGAAAGGAGGAGGCAGTGAAGGGCTGGGCGGGAGTAGAGCAGGGAGGACAGGAGAAGGAAGGCGCTTCCTGAGTAGCACCATGGTTTGTGCCAACAGCGGGGTTTCTGTCCCGGGCTGGATGAGCCTCAGGAAGTGTCTGACAGATGAGCTGGCCCGTGGAGCAGCAACCTGGATCCGAGCAGCCCTGCCAAATGGGACCAGGTGGCTGGCCGGCTTCCTTGGAGGAAGGAATTCAGGCCCTCCTCCCTCAAGCATGCTAATGAGCATCACGGGCCCCACTGCCAGTGCCTCGAATTTGAGGGGCTCTCTGGAGGGATGCCCTGCACATGGTCAGGTCAGGGGCCCCTGCTATGCAGTGGGTAAGGGCTACTTCCTGAAGGTCACCCGTTTAGCCTTGGAGTCATCTTTTATTTCCTGTTTTTGCCAAGGACTTCAAGTTCAGACACAGAGTGGGAGATACTAGTCCTTAATAATTATCCCATTGTGTTTAGCCAGAAACAACATTAAAATGAAGGGAGAATAAAAGATCACTTAATCTCTCAAAAAAGTAATGTTACCCTTTCTTGTCATACAAAACTTTAACACTGTGTGATTACAGGTAATATTAATTTTCCTCATTATACTCCTGTGTTTTCCAAACTTTCTATAGCGAACATGTATTATTTTTAATCATTTGAGGGAGAGAGAGAGTGAAAGCAGTTTTTCAAAACCTCTTCTACGAATAAAGTCACTTCTCCCCATTCTGTGAAAAGGAGTGTTATCTTTCCCCCACTGTTCTCCGTGGGAAGCCCTGGCACAGAGCAAGCGACCTATCCAGCTCCAATGGCAGAGCGAGTGAGGGCAGCCCCAGTGTCTGAGCCCACGTCCTCCCAGACTGGGCCTGCGTAGGTTTCTGGGCAAGAACGCTTCTCCCCGGAGCCCACTGCTATGGGATCGGAGATGGCCCGGGCCATCCCCTCTCAGTCACTACCCAGCTGGATGTGTGACCTCAGGTCAGTTCCTCGGGGCCAGTCACATGCCTTTATGACAGAGTTGGTGCCGGAGCTGGCCCTTCTCCTCCTCCCTTGACCACAGTTCAAAAGGAAATCCGGTCACCTGAGTGGAAAAGCTTCAGGACTGGCCCACTCAGGGCCAGGAGGCAGGAGAAGCTCCAGGGAAGGGGGGCCTGTCTGCCGACTTACTCCGTATGCTCTGCTGGCCCTGCAGGGTGGGGGTGGGGGGATCCTGTGGGTGACGTGTCTGCAGTATGTTCCCAGGTCACCTGGTGCACAGGCCGGGGCCTCTCTCTATGACCGCCTCAGCAGGAGAACCTAGCCAAGCTGTGTGGATGTCAGTCCCTTGCTTTGCCAGGACCACCTCCCTCTCCTGGCTGCTGGGGTCGAGGCCTGTGAAATAAATCTAGCAGTTCGAGTCGGGCGGACAGGACTGAGCCGCCCAACGGGCTGCAGCTGTCCCTGAAAACAGCCCACAGGCAGGGTTGCTGCTGCGGTCTCTGATTCCGACTGGGCAGTGCTGCTTAATTCTAACAAAGGAAAGAAAGAAAAAGAAGAAAAGCAGGCATGAACACTCTGAGCGTTACTGGTTTCTGTTCTGCCGAGGCCTTTAAGCTCTCATTTGAGTCACTTGGCAGGGGCACAGAAACTGATACTATATAAACAGCCACACTGGTGTTTATCCCTCCACCATCGCTTGGGATTTCCAAGGCATCAGGAGAACTGCCCTCTGGGACGGCTGCCCTGAGACGGGTGGGGAGGGAAAGACTGGAGGACTCTCAGCCAGGTGTCATCAGGAATGGGAGCCCACACCAGTGCCCTCTGCATTCCCCCCTTGTTTGTGCAGTTCCCCTTTTTGGCAGTTCTGACTGGCTGCTCCTTGTCCCGGTGAGAACCTCTCTCACTGGGAACCCCAGGGTCAACAGCTGGGGCTTTGTGCTCAGCAGACCTGGGTGGCACCTGCTGAGACAGAGGTTCCCTCCGCCCCTCTCACTCTGGGTCCTCTGACACTCCCAGCACAACTCCGACCTCAGCGCTGGCTCAGCTGCAGACACCAGCACCCACTCGGACCCAGTGTCTGTGCCTGTGACTTGCCAGCATGGCAAGGGTTTTCTCAAATTTAATGGCAGCTGATTCTGTGACCCAAGGGTTTTGAGCACACACCTGCTGCCCCTTCCCTTTCTACTCACCTTCCCCACCAGGTGCTTCTGTGGGAACCTTCCCTCTTGCTCAGGTTGGGCAGTGTCTGCAGGAAGGCCCTTGTGCCAGGCTGCAGTTATACATATGCCATTACCTTGTCCCTTCCACTGATGGCAGTAGGCCCGTGAGTCCAGTCTGCAAGGTGAAGTAGCATTTGTGACCCAGCCCGCGGGGGAAAGTTCCCACATCTCATCCAGCCTTAGGCACAGAGTTCCCAACAGCCACTCACTCCAGGGCACAGCTGAGTCACCCTTTCTGCCATCTCTTGCTGCTGGTTACAGATGAACCCTAACTTGGCCTCTGTAAACTCAGAGGCAGCCTAATAATTTCTGTGGCAAAAAATGTACAGAAAGGTGGGCATAGCAGCACGGAGACATTGCAGCCGGGGTGTCTCTCCCTTGGAGCAGCAATCGGAACTGTGTCCATTGAGCCAAAAGGGGCTTGTACAGTCTCTTCAGAGTCCCTGCAGCACCAGCCTCTGAGCCACACGGCCCCTGGCCACATCCTGCCAATTTGTGAGGCCCTGCAGACACTGTTTGCCTGGGTATTGTCTGCCTTCCGGGCCCTGTACTTGAACCCTGCAGGCATTGTGGGGTCAGTCCCTGGGGGTGTCCATGTGACCAAGCGTGGAGCTGAGCAGAGCCCACCACAAGCCCTGGGGCACACACATATTTGTATGTGCAAATAAAGGTCTGTTTTAGAGCGATCAGCTTCAAAACACAAGAAAAAAGCCGCCCTCTCCTCTGAACTTAAATGGCTTGGAAAAAATATATACAATTAGTAATTGCCTGGACACGCTCAAGGAAACAGCGAGTTGGCTTGGAGGAGAATCTTTGTTTTGGAGCATTCTGTTCCTAGCAGATTAAAATATGTCCTTTTTAAAAAAGAGAAGAAAGCTGGGCTGACCAGTGAGGAAATTTCTATCTGGAGTCATGGTTTTAAATGCTGTCCGAAATATTCTTTGCATGGGTCTGGCCATTATAAAAAAAATAAACACAAAATTACATTTCCCTTTCCTGGAGTCCATGTTAATTGCCTTTACGACATTATCTAGAGAGAAAAGGAGCCGTCACAAAGTGCAGCCCTGGGAGCGCCCTCCCCCAGACCCAGCCTCCCCCGGGATGAAGGAAGTCCTGCCAACCCCCCAAAATGACTTCTGCAGCCCCTTTCACCAGAGGCTCTAAAACCCCATGGAGTATTTCAGTAGCTGGTTCACAGGGACCTGGGATCCTGTAGGTCACCATGACCAACCGGCACACTGTAGGGCTCCTCCCCACACCAGCAGTGGGATTTTGAGAGCTCCTCTTAGTGGGCAGAGGCCCCACAGGAGCCTGTCATGAGGGGAGGTGCAGGCTCTGGCCACAGGCCCGTAGTGACTCTGAGTGCGGTCCCCCCCCGGACGCAGGGCCTTCGCTGCTCTCGTGGTTTCTGAAGCGTCTCTGCAGCACCTCCTTTGTGATTTGCTTCCCAGAATTTCCCCATCCTGGGCACCTTTCTGTTATTTCTCAATCTTCTCAGGTGTCCCTTTTGTTTCAGAAAAACACAGGACAGGCAGAAAAGCCCTGTGTAATCAGAGCCCAAACACTGGCTCACACGGGCCCCATCGGTAACTCTGTCCCCTGCCACGGTGGGGCCCTGGGCTGAGACCTGTGACTTGCGGATTCTCCCCTCAGCTGACTCAGATCCTCCAATCAGCCTTGGTAAACACCTCAGTCTCCCCTTTGTCCAGTGGAAAGGACCAAATGTACCACCCGGTCGTGTGCTTAAAACTGTAGGATGTGTTCATGGGAGCACGTGATTCCGATGATGACGTGAGTGTTTTTTCCTTCTGACAGCTGTTGCACCAAGGGCTCACCAGAGGGAGGGAGAGGAAAAAAGAGAAAGAAACATTGATGTGAGAGAGGCAACGATTGGTTGCCTCCCACATGTGCCCTGACTGGGGATCGAACCCACCACTCTTTGATGTACGAGATGATTGTCCAACCAACCAAGCCACCCAGCCAGGTTGCAAGTCATTGTCTCTAGCAGTGACTGATGTGATTCAAGCATCCTGGTGAAGCTGAAATATGAGAATCACCCCCAGCCCCCACCTCATTTTACAGAGACTGGTGTGTGTGTTAAGGAAGGCTACCAGGCCACTGGTGTGGAGCCCCCTAACCTGACTCCTCTGCCCCCACAGCTCCCCTCTGGCCCAGCAGCTCTCCTTTCTTCGAGGCGGCCTCCTGAGCAACCTCTACCTTCAGGCGCCTGCACCCACCTGCCCTGTACCTCTGCTCCAGTGGCTGTTCCAGGTGAGGAATTCAGGCCTGCCACTAGGTGGCGGGAGCGTTCTGGCCTGCAGCCTGGCGGGCAAGCCAGGAAGGGGGAAGGGCTGTGGGGTACGGTTTTGGGGTGAGTGTGTCTGCTGAGTTTGTCCCAGCTAAAGGAAGAGGAGGGAGGAAGGCCTGTGATGGCTGAGTCAGAGAGGTACTCGGATTACCCCGTGGTCTCAGTCTACCCCTCACCCGGGGCATGTGCCTCACAGGGTGCTGCTCCCTCTGGTACCAGAAGTCTTCTCTCTGGTACTCCACTGGTGCTTCCATGTGTCCCAGCTCATCTCTGCTCCATGTCACAGGTCCTGGCTCAGGGTCCACCGCAGCCCTGTAGCACCTGGAGGTGTGGGGGCCCTCATGAATGTCAAGCTGGGGGTGCTCAGGTGTCTGAGCATTTGCCTTCCCCTGTAGAGGTGCAGGTCAGCTGGGAAAGCCCAGAGTAGCTGCCGTAGCTCCCCGTGTTTTTTCCCTGCTCATGCTGGTGGAACATTGCACTTGGGAAACTGCATTCTTCCCGGTCCTGAGACCTTCATACTGAGAAAGACGGTGAGGAGCCAGCAGGGACAGCCCAGAAACCAGCTGCTGTGGTCTGAATGCCAGCCTTGGCACCCACCCAGGGCCATCCCTGTCTGGGGAGGGCAGGTCGCAAGTTCCAGCTGGTCTCATTCCTGCCACTTAGAGCCTGGATCCCAGCTGTAAATTAGAGCCGGCATGCAGGGTGGATTGTTCAAGGAAGTCGGCTTTGGCCGATGGGCTGCCTTCCAGAATGAGCCCTCCAACTCTCTCCTTCCCATTGCCCCTCCCTGCCCCAGAAGAAAAAGACCCCCGTGGTGCCTGGGGCTCCCATGTGTGGCTGTTGCCCTCATCCCTCCCCCAGGCCCAGCAGGATTATACGCTAGTAACAGGGAACAGTGTGGCCATTCTTCTCTGCCCCCATCAGTGCAGCTTCTCTGTGCTCCACGCACACAGTGTATGACAAAACGCACAATCGGGCATTGGAAGGCACAAAGGGCTCGTCTGAGACATCGCCCATAGAGGGTCCTTGTGTGACCCTGACACGGCGTGGACTGCCTGGGGAGGAGTGAGCCAGCCCTGCCCTGTCTCTTCTCCCACTTCTGTCTCCCCAGGAGGGACCATACAGCAGAGGAGCCTGCCCTGAGGCCACACAGGCTGTGTGCATTTCCACCCCTGCCACTTCTTGCTGTGTGACCTTGGGCAGGTTATCTAGCGTCAGCCCTGTGCCTGAGTTTGCACTGTGCAAACTGGGGCTGAGAGTCCCATGAGGAAGTCCTGTGGCCTGTCTTGTTTTTATGGTCCCCCCCAAGGCTCTGCCCTGGGGCCTGGGCATCTCCCAGAAGGAATGTTTGTGCAGAGGGTCCAGTTCTCCACCTTCCAGAAGGAGACACCAAAGCTCCCCACTCCCAGAACTGGGCCCAGATCAGTGAAAGGCTGCCTTTGACCTCGGGACCCTGCAGGCAAGTCTCTGAGCAGCATCTTTGTCTCTGGAGGGGAAGGAGGAGCAAGGCAGCACAGTGACCATGTGACTATCATATGGCCAAACTACAGACCTTCCCAGAATGGACTCTGCCATTTCACTTCTGAGGTGTTGGTTTTCTTGCCACTTGTAACAAATGTTTCCTCAGTAACAGCAGCATCCATTCATTCACAGACATCGATTGAAGATTGGCTGTATATTGAGCTCTAGGGTTGGAGAGATTTGGGGAATGGTGTCCCAGGTGCATATCTAGAATGTGGCCGTGGTGCTCAGCATACTTCTGAACCCTGCTGTTACGTGGACTCTGATTGCAAGGGGCAGAAATCCATGGGGCTCCCTGAAGCTGCTGGCGGGATTCGTATAAAGGTGCAAGGGTGGAGTCCTCAGGAGGAGCAGGAACCAGAATGGAGAAGGGTCGGGATCCTAGGACAGGCCTCGGCTTTTTTTTACTCTGCAGACTCCATGGCCATTTGAATTCTCAGGAAAGAGAGCCTGATTGGCCTAAGAGGGGTTAAGTGCCCCCCCCAACCCACTCCATCCAATCAAAGACAGTGGTGAGCAGGGTCACTGGGCAGCTGAACACCCACCTGTACCCCCGTGGTTGACTCAGAGCTGGGGGTGGGTAAGCAGGGCACACCTCCCCAAACCTGCTCATTGGACTGTTTGGAAAGAATCTCCCGAGGTCCCACGGGGACCAGGCCCTGTGCCAGCCCCCTTGCCCCCCCCCAGGGGCTTCCTCAGTGGGGTGCACAGTGGGCATTGGGTGAACAGACTTTGGCCTTCATGCTCAGGTCACTGGAGTCCTAGTGTGTACTGACCACAGCTAGGTTAGTCTAGCTGGGGAGGTGGACTAGAAGCACATAGCATATGCTCTGAATTTATATTCTTGTTGGGAAATGATCAAATGTCCAGCTGTGAAGAAGTTAGGGGAAGTAAGAAAAGGAGGAGGCGGCAGAGTTCTGCGGTCGTAGGTCAGATCCCAGGAAGCTGACCCTGAGACGTGGTTTCCCAGCAGATTTCCGGTGCGGGGGCTCGTTCCCAGCAGCCGCTGTGGGAGCCAGGGAGAGCAGCGGGCCTGGGCAGAGGCAAAGCAAGTGTAAGAGGATCACAGCCAGTCCTACGGGGGCCTCTGGAACTGGGGTGACCCATTAGAGTTGAGCCAGTGGAGGCAAGGGGCCTGGCCGAAGCCAGTTATCAGACAAAGACCTGCCTGAAGCCCTTGTATGTAATGCACTAAATTCAAATTTGACTAAGGTGACGTCCTGAGGTCTCCTTCCTGAAGCAGGTTTCTCTGAACCTCCAGGGCAGGAAACGGGGGGAGGGTCAAAGGCGTTCTGAGTCTCTTGCTCCTTGATGAACAGCTTAAAGTCACTATCCCAGAAAACAGCTTTAGGGTGGCAAAATTTGGGTCCCTTCAACCCTCAGACTCGAGGAGCCTTCAAGTTAGGATCCCAGTGAGTTTGAGTCAGGTGGGTGACCTGCCACCCCCACAGCAGCCCAGGTCGAGTTAGGATCTGCCCTCAGTCCCGAGGACCTCCCGGCGTTGGTGGTCTCAGATGACTCGAGGTTAAGGCACTGACCTGGGAATGATGGAGGATCACAAAGAGGAACTGGCCTGTCTGTCATTGTTCAGCAGACTTTCAAGCTCCTCCTTGCTACACTGGGCCCTGCCCTGGAGGGGCGTGGCCTTGACCACGGGAGTGAGAGACAGGAGCACAAGATTCCTTCACAAGGAGGTGGACAGAGCAGGAAGTTTGAAGTCACATAGACCGGGATCAAATCCTGGCTTTGTGACGTAAAAGCTCTGTGACCCCGGGAAAGTTGCTTGATCTTCTGAGCTTGGTTTCCTCCTCTGTAAAATGGCAATAATGACACTATCTTTGTACCATATGGACTGGTGAGGGTGAAATGGGAATTGTTTACTGTGGAGCAGTAAACGTTTACTACTGTTACAACACAGGAATGACCCAGCGAACCTGTTTCTTCTCCTAGCTGCTGACATGGCCTCCAGACACTTCTTCGAGAGCCTTTGACCTCCTGTGGGATCTCAGCATGGAGAGACTCCTCTGTCAGTCTGGTCAGTGCTGGGGTGTGGAATGGACACTTTCACCCCAAGTGCCCGAGCTCGAGAGCCTGGATAGTACACAGCACCCAGTCTCCCTGGAGCCTGGCCTGCAAGGGACGTGCCAGTGGGGACAGCACGTTCCTGGGATGTGGAGACATCAGACCATCTTTGGCTCTGGCTCCCAAGTTAGTAAAAAGCTGAGCTAACAGGTTCTGAGGGAGCCTGATCTGGCCTCAGATGCATATCACGGCCACCAGGTCCAGGCTGACCTCACAGACAGACTGCTGGGATCCTAGAACAGTCTGGAGGGCCAGTTCTCTGGATTTAAGGGCATAGTTCTTTCTGAACACCTACACCAAAGCAGGGATGCCTCTGGGTCGAGTTAACCACAGGGGGCCTGAAGCCCCAACCAGCACCCCGCCTGAGCTCATGAGGTGTCAGTGGAGCCCCTGAGTTTGGTCTGGGCTGGAATGAAAGCTTCACACCCGTACCTTGGACCTGACATTTAAGGGGTGCCCTTAAGTCATCTTTACACTTCAAGGGGTTCAGAGTTCACAGAAGTGATTGATTTTCCCTTTACTGGCTGTGCCCTTCCCAGGCTGTCATCATTTCATACCTGAACCCAGACACTTTGGCACCAAAAAAATATCCTGTAACCATTTGAAAGTTGCTTACAGTGAGAGGGACTCACAGGTGTCCAGACACCGCCTTTGCTCACTGGCTATAGTCTGCCCACCCTCCCACCGGAACGCTAAAGGCATAGCTCTCAAGGCCAAGGTTTGAGACCTGTGATGTGCACCGTTGACGCCCTGCCTGCCCTTTGAATTTCTGCTTTTGTGCCTTCCTTGCTTAGGGAGTTGGCTGAGCTGGGGGCCAGCTGTCAAATAAGAGCATTCCATACTCCTGACCCTCGCCCCTTCCCCGCCCCCAGGCCTAGGCCCCTCTGAGGTTTTCTGAACAGCACCAGTCTTGGCATCCTCTCCCTTTTCATAACCTCTGCCCCTGCAGCAGGGCTGCCCTTTTGAGAGCCCCCAGGGCCACCTCTGCAGCATGCCTGCCCTTTTGGGGAACAGAGGCCTGCCTTGTCCTGCTCTTCTCCTCCAGGCAGTGGTATGTGTCTCCCCCCAGAGAGGCAGAGGGGGATGTCCCACTCTTCTTTGCTTCTTGCCGCAATGTCCTTGATTCACTGCCCTCCATCAAATGGGCCAGGAACCTGCTCCTGAGTTCCCAGTTGGCTCAGCTCTGCTCCCTCGACTCCAGAGCACTTCTCATGCATCATGCTGGGGTTCTCTCTCCCTCCCATTGCAACAGAGACTGGCCTAGAATTCCAGGTCCAAGGTGGAATCTTGACTAATTCAGAGGAAGTCAAAGACCACATCCACAAAAGAACTGTAAGCAGGCACTTGAACAGACAGCAGCATTACTCACAATAGCCAAACGGTATCCACTGATGGATGACTGGGTAATAAATGGTGTATATACATGCAGTGGATCATCACTCAGCCTTGAAAGGAAAGAAAACTCTGACATACATTCTACAACATGGATGAACCTGTGGACATCATGCCTAGTGAAATAAGCCGGACACAAAAGAACAAATACTGTATGATTTCATTTATACGAGATCTTTAGTGCAAACAATAGGCACAGAAAATAGAACTGTGGCTGCCTGGGAGTGGGGCCGGAGGGCAGGGGGAGTTAGTGTGCACCGTGCACAGGGTCTCGCTCTCAGCCTGGGGGCGGGTGGCGCAGAGGCTGCACAGCAGGGTGAACGCACTGAACACTGCCGAACTCTGCACTTAAAAAAGGTTCAGAGGCGATGTTTAAGCATATAAGTTTATGTTATATGCTTTTTACCATAATTTAAAAAACAAATAAAACAGCCACATTCAGAGCCTAGAGCCAGGTGCCAAGAAAGAATCTACCAAAAGCTGGAGCTGAACAGACAGCAGCATAGACCGCCACTCCGACCGCCACCGTGTTCTCCCAGGACAACAGTGTTCAGGGCAAAGAGGAGAAGAGTAGAGGATAAAAGGTCATCACTTCTTGTACTTTTCTCTCTTTTTTTTTGGTACATGCTTTGCATTTTGTTTCATTAAACAGAACTGGAGCCCAGGCTTTAGAGGATATTTCCCGTATTTTCTGACCCTAGTGCCCTTTGAGCCCCTGGTGGTGTCTGAAGGATTTTTGGTTCCATGAATCCTACTTCCCCAACATAGAATCTAGGACACTTACTTTTCCACCCTCCTTTCAACTATTTGAATTTTTAGTTGTGGAATTTCCATTTAGTTCTTTATTCTTTTAATAGTGTCTCTTTCTCTACTGGGGTCTCTCGTTCATTCATTCAGTATGAGTGTGTTGGCGTTTACCACCTTGAGTGTATTACAGCAGCTGCTTTAAAACCCTTGTCTCTAATTCTAACATCTGAATCATCTGATTCATCACATGGAAAATTAAGGATGAATGTGAGCATTTGTTTAGAATAACTAAAGAAATCATGGACCAAAAGCTGGACCTTGGGGGATCAGGTCTCTTTCTCCTAGATCTCTTACAGACGTGTCCGACCTGTGGCCCACGGGCCACAGGCAGCTCAAGACGGCTGTGAATTCGACTCAACACAAAATTGTAAATTTACTTAAATCATTTTGAGATTTTTTGGTGATTACGTGTTGCAATGTATTTGATGTGTGGCCCAAGACAATCTTTGTCTTCCAGTGTAGCCCAGAGACACCAAAGGTTGGATGCCTCTGCTAGGACATTTCCCAGAAGTGTTCCCGCACAGAAGCCTGCGGTTGTGCCACAGCTCCTTTCCTAACCTAGACCACTCCCAGGGTCGCAGGCGAGGGGCCCGAAGCTCACCTTCATCAGCTCTACGGTTAATTGGCTTCTGCTCAAATAGCTGCTCTTGTTTCTGTTGCCTGTGGCTAAGCACTCTGACTGCTCCAGTGGCCACCCTAGACCAGTCTCTGGAAAGGTAAGCGGGATGGTGTGGCTCATCTGCTGCCATGGGCCGGCTGTTCCTGAGCAGAAACCAGAACAAAACCCAGCTTGTTTTACCAGGAAAGGAGAGGAGCGTGGCTCTTGGGCAGGCAGTCAGCTGCCATAGCCAGAATGTGGATGTTTATGTGAAATCTCCTCGTGGTAGCTAATTCAGTTAAAAAACAAAAGCAAAAACTCCTACTGTGAACCCATCTGCAGACTCTTTTTGACTGTAGATGGTATATAGCTCCACTGATTTGCAGCCTTGGGAGGAGGATTCAGGTGCAGAGAGATACAAGGGAAGCGGAGAACAGTATAACACAGAAAAGGAGGTGGAGAGAGTGGGGCTTCCTTTCAGGGGGCAGTGCACAGGGTAAGATGGAACATTAGGGGCCAGAGCTCAGAGCACAGTGGGGCCATTGCAGACACAGTGAAGCTTAATATTTGGCAAAACCAGGACAAAATTATTGCTGTTTTAGACATAATTCACATACTATATAATTCACACTTATCAAGGGTGTGATTTAGTATGGTTCAGATTTGTTCCACCATCACCACTATCTAACCCCAGAGCACCTCACCACTTCATGCCCACCTGCAGTCAGTCACTTCTCCTTCCCACTCTCCCAACCCCCGGCAACCCCTAGTCTATACGTTCTGTCTCTGTAGATTTGCTTGTTATGGGCATTTCGTATAAATGGAATCCAGTTGAGTCTGGATTATTTTACTTCACGTAATGTTTTCAAGGTCCGTGCGTGTTGTCCTATATGTCAGTACTTCATTCCCTTTTATGGCCAAATAATATTCCATGGTATGGATATGCCACATTTTATCCATCAGTGGATGGACACATGGGCTGTTTCTACTTTGGGGCTATTGTGAATAATGCTACTATGAACATTTGCACACAAGTTTTTATGGGGACATATGTTTTCTGTTCTTTCGGGTACATACTGAAGAGTAGAATTGCTAGGTGACATGCTAATTCTATGTTGAACTTTTTTAAAGGACTGCCAAACCATTTTCAGAAGAGGCTACATCACTTTACATTCCCACCGGCAATGTGTGAGCGTCCCACTTTCTTTCCATCCCCGCCAGCATTAGTTACTGTCCCTCTCTAGTGGATGTGAAGTGGCATCTCACAGTGGTTTGGACTTGCCTTTCTCTAACGACTAAGGGTGTGGAGGGCCTGTCCATGTACTTATTGTCCATTGGTGTGCCTTCTTTGGGGAAACATCGGTTAAAATGCTTTGCCTATGTATTTATTGAATTTCAGGAGTTCTTTATATATTCTGGATACTAGATTCTTACCAGATATGTAATTTGCAAATATTTTCTCCCATTCTGTGGGTTGTCTTTTTTATCTCTTGATAGTATCCTTTGATGCACAAAAGTTTTAAATTTTGATAAAGTCTAATTTATCTGCTTTTTCCTATTGTTGCCCGTGCTTTGGGTGTCAAACACGATACCATTGCCTAGTCCAAGGTTATAAAGAATTTCCCTTATGTTTTCCTCAAAAGGTTTCTCAAATTTTTTAAAAACTGATTTTAGAGGGGGCGGAGGGGAGGTGGCTGGAGGGATGGTCGATTCTTCTGTGCGCCCTAAGCAGGGCTCAAACCCACAATCTTGGAACATCGGGATACACTCTAACCAGCTGAGCTAACCTGGCCAAGGCTCTTCTAAGAGTTTTATAGTTTTAGGTGTTACAGTCAGGTCTTTGATCCATTTTAACTTGATTTTTATGTATGCTGTGAGGTAGGTGGTTCAACTTCATTCTTCTACACATGGAAATCCAGTTTTCCTAGCACCATTTGTTGAAAAGATTGTTCTTTGTCCATTGAATTGTCTTGCACCTTGTTAAAAATCAGTTGACTATTGATGTATGAGTTTATTTCTGGACTCTCAATTCCATGACATTGATTTATACATCTATTCTTATGCCAATACCCCAAATTCTTGATTACTGTAGCTTGTAGTAAGTTTTGAAATTGGGAGGTGTGAGTACTCCAAATTTGCTCTTTTCAAAATTCTTT